TGAGGTAGCGCAGCTGCAGCTGAAAAGCTGAGAAACTGCAGCTGCGCCAAACAGACCCTAAATGTAGTGATTTGGGTCAATTGCATATGTTTTTTGTAATTTCAAAGATTGGGTGACATGAATGTAAAAAAAATCAAATTTAAATTAAAAAAATGTAAATATGTAAGAATTAAAGGCAAATTTGTTGAAGTTAAATTAATAAAAATACAATTTTGTCTTAATAAATAAAATTTTGGCTATGTGGCATAATTTCCTGTTCTGCATGATAGAAATGGCACAATTTCATTATACTGCCACGTGGCAAAGACCCCACCCAGTATGGTTTAGCGACCGCAAATAACAATTTGTCGTTGAGTTGATGATAATTTCTCGGAAGCCGGAGAGCATGTGATCCTTGAGACGGTGGTTAAGAGCTCTCCTAATTATGGTTTATCAAACTCCTAAACCAATTTTAAATTGTTAAAGTACGTCAGCAAAAAGTATACATTAAAGTCTGTTTAAAGTCAAGCAACCGGCCCACTAGCCCACTAGCCCACTGGCCCACCCAGTTTTTCTTTTTATTTTCTAACAAATTTTCTACTCTACACTCGATCTTATCCTTGTTTTATTTTTTTTAATTATTACTATTAAAATAAAATATTACTAATATAATTTAATTTAAAATTTTCCCTTATTTGGGTGATATATATATATATATATATATAACTTATTTTATAGAGCTTTTATTGAAAATGATGTGATTTTTATTATAATGAAATTAAGATAGAGAAGACCGGGAAAAGATGACAGCAACGGCTATAATTTTATTTTATTTTCAATCAATATATCAATACATTGATTGAAAATTTAAAATAAATTAATGTCCACGTAGCTGTGCTTTGAGATAAACCACAGCTCGGTCCAAATGATGCCAGCTGTTCTGCATTTAGAAAAGGAAGAAGCAAGTCCTTTGGGCAGCTAGGCTGAAGATAAATTGACTGCTTGATTAAAATACACTAAAATTAAATAATAATAACAATAATAATAATATATATTTAAAATTATATAAATAACTTTTTATTACACGCCTTTTGAAGCAGATTTCCATAATTTTTAAGTTATTTGACAAATAATTTGATTTCAATTTCATTAAATTTTTAATGTGAAAAAATAAATAAAGAAATTTTTATGAAATAAAATTAAATTGTTAGTGAAAATTCATTAATAACTTTGGTCATTTGAAAAAAAATCTCGAGAAGGTTAGTATGAATTTCATAGTAGTTTTTAAGCAATAAAATTTTAAACTCAAATTAAAAAACATTTAGAACTAAAATTTCAACAAATTTAGAATCAAACTGACCAACTCAACAATACGAACCTAATAACACTAAAATTAGTATAATCCGAATAAAATCAAGCATAATTCAAGTTGTTAAACAATTTTTGAAAGCTTTATATGACTAGTTGAAAGATCAAATGAATTTTAAATCTAACAAACTTGTGATCAAATCCAGCATCTCGATAAAACAAATCTGACGAACATAAGATCGCCATATATTGACATCGATAAGGCACACATATATCTACAAAACTTCGTCTGATCAAAGAAATTTTGCCAATCCATTCAAAAGAGTGGTCCTGATTTATTCCTTGCAGGAGGGCCCCTCCAATATTTTATCGAATAGAGCCCTACTCTCTTCATCAAATTCCAATGCAATTTTGGATAGAAAACCCGACGAATGCTTCTTGCTCCCGCAACAACCAACCACCATCAATCACCGCTCGTTGGCCACCATCACCATCGACTATCATCGATCACCATCTGCTTAATGCAATAAGCACCCTACGAAGTAGTGCATCACCCACAACATTTCACAACAACACATTGAATAAGGTGTCACAATGTCCTCCGAAGACGGTGTAACAACACACATCAAAAACCGCATAACAATTCATCATGATTACAATGAAATGCACATTCATAATTTTTGTTACAAGTGAAATACACATTCTTCATTCATTAACTTATGACAATAAAATGTTATAATATAAATATGAAATATGAAATTTTAGGTGCTAAATATGTTGATACATAAGGATTGTGGGATGCAAGCAAATCTCCCAAACAATTTATTTGCAGCGCAACATTAAATAGTTAAAACAGAGGCATAGAATGGGACTTGGTTGAAATATTGATTGCAGTTGATAGATGGTCTTTTGGAAAAACATAATCATAAAATGTTGCAGTTTAAGCAGCAACAGGCAACAATCCATTGTGTCTGAGTAAGGCTTCAGGCGATGGTTCTCTTCCCCGAAATTCCACAAAAACCTGATCAAAGGAGCCAAATAAATAGAGTTAAATAAAAAGGAAAATATGTAAAAATTGAAGTTTAGGTGTTAGATATGTAAATACATACAAATTGAGGGCCCGTTTCAACAGCTTATCCGAAAACGCGGTTGAGTTTTTATACCAAAAGCAGGTCGCGGGTCGAACCCCGCGTCTTACCCGCAGACCGCGTTTCATGATAAGCTGCTTATCTGTATAATAAGCTGCCCCAAACACACCCTGAGAGGTATGTATGTAAATCTTCCTAACTGTAGAATAACCCAGGATAAGGATGATATAAAGCCACGTGTTTATCTTACCTCAAGTGGAGGTTTCCCACCTCCAAGAGCGAGAATGGTGTCTCGGAACCTCTGACCAGTTTCCTTGATAGCCTATCAAATTGGATGAGAAAAAATTAAAAGTTTTTTTAATCCATTAAACATGAATTAGATTTAAAATTTCAGAGAAATTAAAGAAAATGTATGGCAATGGTAGAAAGAAACTCTGGAAAATATACATGAAGATTCAAATTGTTGAATTTGCTTGGTTCTGCTATGAATCATGAATTATTTCAAGAAGATCTTCATGATTGTAGTAAAGAAACATGAACAGATCCTAATAAGTGATCTCAACTTCTGAAGCAGAGCAAATAATGTAAAAAACAGCTACAGCAAACAGATGAATAAATACACAGAAATGAAACACCATTAAAATTAAACAGCTACAGCAGATCGATTCACTAAACCAGAAACAAAGCTAAAGCTTCAACAGCTATGTACACTGAAGTATATAGCTCTTCCTCTAGTCCCCAGCTCACCTCGAGCTCGTCAAAATTGGCATCTATAACAGAAGGGAATTAAATACGGGAATTTTTCATGTTGTCAAACTTGGACATTGAGCATTAATTAAGCTTCATTAATTCAAATTTTGATTGATTAACTGCAAATATAAAATACGAAATTGTAAGATTACCCACTTCTGCTTCACTCAATAGCCTAGGAAAAATGAAATGAGATGCATAATTTGACCGACAGGCTATGTGTGCTGCGCTAACCGATCATTGAAACCTTGTAGAGAAATTAGAGGGTTATTTTGCCCATCAGTTAAACAAAGATCCAATGGCATTCTAAAGCAATAAACAATCTATTAGGGATCTATAATAGATTATGGATTAGTGGTTATATACTTGTAATGAATTGTATGATTTAAGGTTATGAGATACTTAATAGGAGGTCACTGAGTCATAAAATGATTTATTTTTCTATAAAAAGTTCTATTTAGAGACATTAGAATATAAATGGAAAATATGGTGAGCCTCCCCAAAACTAAATCATGAACTCTCTCTCTCTCAATCAATTTATCGAGTTATTGGCAAAACATAGAATCATTGTTATCCCCATCAAAAATTTGGTTTGCATCAATGGAGTTGCTGTTGAGCTTCACCACCACTAAGTGCTTAATTGACATCCCGAATATAGCTCTTATCATATACGGTATATTATTTAAATAAAATTTGGTTAGCTAGAATTTATTTAATTATAGATTTAATAGTAATATATTATCATATTAAAAATATTTTTAGATTAATTACTATTTATATATTTATTATTATTATTAATTATTCATTATTTAAATTCCAAGACTCGATTAGCAATTAAAAATTCCGTTTGGTAAAGATTCGATGATAATCATTCAAATTAAAAAATAAATAATTTTGAATACTTTTAAAAATATAAAACTTATTTATTTTTGTTCACAAATAAATTTATTTATTATTCAATAAATATTTTGTTAAATAAATTGATAGAAAAATTGATGATATCTCATTTATTATATCATATATTATTTAAATATGGGTTAGTATAATTGCTTATATGATTTATTTAATTGTTTATTTATTTAGATTCGTAAAATTATTTATTATATTATTTATATGAAAATTTAGATATTCATTTGAATTTCTAACTCATTTATTAACTCGTTTAAATACTCGCTCACTTGCCATAAATAAATCAAGTTCAAACATTAAAAAAATTAAATAAGTCAAGCTTGAATAATATGTAAAAGCTCGACACAAGCTAAAGCCGAACATAAACAATTTATAATTAAACCAAGCCAAGTCCAAACTATGATATACATAGCTCGACTCGGCTCGATTACAACCCTAACCACGCGCTAAAAACAACAATGCCTCTAGGCGTGCTATAACCAACAAAAGTTTTAGCAAAGAAAATTAAGGTGTTCTTTTAGTGTCTACTTTTGCTATTAACATTAAAACGGATTCCAATTTCCTGAATTTTAGTCAGAACAAAGAAATGACAAGTTTAGGCTGAAGTCGAAGTAGATCAAGTAAGTTTGTGGTAAACCTGCGACATAAAACCATTTTACATGCATTTCTTCTACTTTCAACCCATTACGCTGAAAACAAAAGAGAACTTAAGAATCAATAAATACAATCCAAAGCTCTAATTTAGAACCAATAGCAAGATTTATCAACCAGAAAGATAAGAATCAAACCACAACAAAATTTTTGAAAACTAAAGCCAAGTAGAGAAGTGAGATCTCCAACCAAACCAAGATCATTTCAATTCATTAACAAGGAAATGTCTTGAGGTTATTTAAAAGACTAAATTATGAAATCAAGACCTTTCGAACCTATCAATTAGCTATATGTATGCCATATGAGTTAATAATTTGACACATATAAACAGACAAATTATTACCTTGTCATCGTCCAACCCAGCATCCTCAAATGCCGAAAAAGCATCTGCAGACAGCACCTCGGCCCACTGAAAGTTCAATGTATATATATCTTCTTATTTTCCATTGAATAGATAGCAGAAGAAAACCCAAGAAAACTTTTAAATAAATTTCTAGAACAAGCAGGCAATGATCAATGAAACATCAAGGGAAAATGTTCACCTACCGAATTAATAATGATAAATTGAAATCTTGTCATATTTGTAATAAGGTCTCATTTGGTTGAATGAAGATTAAAATTATAACGAAATTTGCAAATCTTACTTCTGAATGAAAAAATTGAAAAACTACTGGTTCGGCTGCAGTTTTAACAATAAATTTCAATCCATTGCTTAAGCGGATGAATATCTGCTCTGAACTTTTTTTTTTTTTTTTTTGGCTAGAGCCCAACTATCAGTCCATGAAACTAAATTGGCAATAACCATAACGTAATGAGAGCTGGGCACAGATCAGTTGCAACACACCATAGCATAGTCAGCAGATGCCAGAGTTTTTTGACTTCGAAGCCATAAAAGTGTTAGAAAACTGAAGAAAGGCTGTTACAACCTTGCCTACATTAGTTGGGCGGGTCAAGCCCTCAGGGGCCTTATTGCAAAATCTTCAATCATGGTTTCAATTTCACTCATTTTGTAATCAACAATTGAAACCTTAGATGATAGGAGTTTTTTGGGGTATAAACTATGCTTTCTTCTAATTACATCCAATTCTCAAACATTCCTTTAACTTGCAAGAAGCTAAACGAGCCATAGAAAAAATGTCACTATTTGGCTAGGAACCATACAGACACATTTTACACTGGAAAACTCCCCAAGAAAAATAAATAAATAAATCACCCAATTGCTCTCTCGACCGCATACTCTTCCTCCCCTGTCCATCTTGGTAAGAACCAGTGGTCCCTCTGAATTCAGAGACAGGTAGAACCAGCGATTTCTTCAGTTTTCCTATATTTGGTTAGTAATTTTTTACCTTCTAGTAGTTGCTACAATATTTATCCATGATCCTCAGTTGTTTTCCCGCCGGCTATATTAGAAATTGCTTATCCTTGTATTTGTGCCAGGTTAGGCGCATTAAAAAGTATTTTTAAGGCCTGACCTCAGGCAAAAAAAGGCGAGCAATCCTCGAAATGTGGAAAGAAATAAAAAAGGAGCAAGAAACAGGTGCAACAAGTCGTCGTTTCTACCAGATGTACACCCCTAAACCGCCTAGATGCGGTCTCAAGAGTATGTAACACTCTTTAATGCCCCAAAATAAAATCCGTGCCTTCTCTTTTTTACAACATTTCTCACGCCTATGACATCTTCCTCCCTAAAATAGGTGGACTCATATCGGCTAAATCATATCTTGTAATTTGTTTTGTTGATTTTAATTTATTTATACCCTTATTCAAATAAACTGCGAAAAATGCATTTAAAACTGCTTTTAAATAGCCTCTATTAAAGTAAGAAATTATCAAGTAAAACCAAGTATTAGAAGCACATTAACAAGTCCAGGAAAGTCATGGTCTTGGAGGAAGGTGAATTGGTGTAAGGCTAAATATGGAGTGATATTTAGCAAGTTCATTTGGAAAGATCAAGCCTAGAACTGACGATCCATGCAGAGTTGACGAGAAGATTAGTTGTAAGATTCATCTATCGGGAGAATAAAATATTTCTGCTATTCTTCAATGTTGCTGATTTTCGGCATGCTATAATGATTTAAGTGATTTCGCTGATGAAAGCAAAGCCCCTCCTGCATGGGGAGTGAAGCGGGAGCAACATTATCTGTTCTGGCAGGAGTGAACCCAATATTTCCATCCCAGGTTGGTTCTTCATAATCTAGATCGGTTCGGTTCAGATTTTTCCCAAACCCTATTGGGTCAGCCAGTCCTTTAGGGCTTCTATTCACTTGCTTTAATTAGGTTAAGAGTTTCTTAGGTAGTTCTATTATATATTGCTTGCTTTGGACTGGTGGAGACAACTTGTCTGTTATTGTGTTACTTCGAGATTTTTCACCTTTAGAAGCAATGTATCCTTGCTTTTGCAAGTAGGGGTATCTTGTTAGAGTGCAAATGGTGGAATGTCCTCAATGTTTGTAACATCGCCAAGAACACCATATCTACTTCTCCGCTGCCTCCCAACACGCCTAAAAATTACTGACTCTTTCATATATATTTTATGCTCAATTTTAATGATTTTTAATGAGATTATACTTTAAAGGAATGTATTTTGCATATTTTTTATTTCAGGTACAAGAAATGAACTTTTAGAGAAAATGAAGTAAAATGGTGCAATTTGGAGTAAAAACGAGCAAGAAGAAAAACTATGGCTTGACACATTTTGATATGTCTTTCTATGCTTAATCTACTTTATATTTCTCACATTTTTTTGAATAAAATTACACTTTAAAAAAAAGTTATTTTAATGCTTATTTTGTAGGTATATCTGTTAGGAGCGAAACACAACTGAAACGGGGCGAAACGAAGTCAAACAGAGCAAAACGGTGAAGCTGTTGCAGGGTTGCGCTTGAGGCGCCTGAGACGATATAAAATAGATTAAGGCGGTACGTGACAAATTTTGAGCGGATTTTGAAGGCTCCAAATGATTCAAACGCCCCATGTATTTATTCAATGCATCTAGACACTTTGGAATACACTTTAATGAAGGGATGTGTCTCTTGAATGAATGGACATGTCTTTTGAGATTCAAAAGGTGTGATTTTTGAAGAGAATTTGAGAGGAAATTTTGAATTCTTTTTTAAAGGAGGCAATCCCTAATTAAAAAGAAGAGGAGCCTAGGGCATGAGTGTGGCGTGAGAGTAAGAGGAAGGTTTTGGAGAAGAGAGGATTTTCTTCTAGAGTTGTAAGAGAAGAGAGAAGGTGAGAGATTTCTTCTTCATTACATTTCTAGGAGAGAATTAAGTGTGATTGTAAAGTAGAGAAAGTGCTTAAAAGGAACTTTTAGGGATTTGCTTGAGAATGAGTGTGAGATAAGTTGTGTTTTTTTCTTTATTTGTTTTGTAAACTTATTTTTATACATGAAATCCGTGTTTTGTCGTATTCTACTCATGAATTCTGAGTAGTTTTTTTTATCCTTCTACTTACTCTGAGATATAGTTTTGTGAAGAAATGATTTTGTTTTAAAAGATTTTAAATGTCAATTTTAAATGTCAAAAGATTTTAAATGTCAAAAATTTGTAATGATTTGAACTTCGATCTTCATTTACTTTTTGATATGACCAATTGAAATGTTACAATGTGTTGAGAAATATATGATCTGAAAAGGCTATGATTTCTACAACATAGTGAGACACATTCGATTCCATGGGAGAAGATGTCATCCATGGTGTTGAGTGCAAATAAATAGGGAAATATATTTTGTCGTACGCAGAATTGAAAATTTTAATGTAATAGATTAAAATCCTCAATTTGGTCAAGTTGATTGAAAACTAATGCGAAATTGTTAGCCCTCATGAGAGGGAGTAGTGGGAGCTCTGGAGTGGCAGCCGGTATCCTCCCAACCTAATCACGGAATTAAGGATCAAACTCTGGATTAGTCAATGTTATTTATGCACTTGAAAGAGGGTAAATAATATGATTGCTCCTATTTGACACAAAATAATTTTTATATATTTTCAAATGATTTTAATTTCTTCAAAATCCATATATTCATCATAAAGAGGAATGATGTTTTCTTATATTTGAACTCTTCCTCACAAAACTTTGTTTAGTCTTAGTAAATTTAACTCTGAAGTTCAGAAATTAGTTGAGTAAACTTAGTTCTTTTAGTTACATTTCTGTTAAAATTCATTAAACTCATTTTAACTTTTCTTTCTTACTTTAATTTTTATAGTTGTGATTTATGTATTATCATAAGAATTTTCATCTTCCAAACTAAGACTCGATAGTAGTAGACTAGAGTTAGCCTAAGAGATTTCTTACTGCGCTTCTCTGTAGGATTGATACTTTGGTTTTTAAAAAAAACCCAATATTACTTAAAGCGATACGTGTACTTGCGTAGAACCACTAGTGTGCGAACTATTTTATATATTTTATAATATTTATATATTTTATATAACATTTCAATTTTGTACATTAACTACTTAATATAAATTGGGCCAAGTTTTTTGCCATATTTTTTAAAGTTAAATTATTGCATAATTTCGGAACGGGCCAAGTTTTTGACACTGTTACCGGGGATTTAAATTGACATAAAACACGCAAAAAAAATAGTACACACCAGGGACGCATCACCTCCTCCATAGACAGCAGCTGAATCGTACTTATCCCTTCCAAAACCTCGTCATTTAAACATAATCCTCTCACCTTACCCCTCTACAACACCCCTACTAGTGCATCAAAACACTTTCACTTTTTAGGAGCTCTAGAGCGGTGCCACATATTTAACTATATGATACATAAGTTTTTAACAAATAAGATAAAAATATAGTACCCAAATAAAGCACGAAAACTTAATATATCAACATACTCATAGCATCATCAATAAAATTATCAATAAATTGTACTTACCAAATTGATTTAGTAATAAGTAAGCACGTTTATTTTATATACTACTAAGAAAACTATCTCCTATTTTGAGGCTTCCCTGATTGACATGATTGACCTAGAGATTGAATTTGTGAGTATCAAGATAATGCTAAAAGCACAGGACTTCACAAATTACAATACAAGAAATCTTCCATTTTCGCATTAAAATTAAAGTTAATTATAGTTGAGTGCCCAAGAACACTTTTCCAATACCCATTACTTAAGAAAGAATAAGAAATGAATGAATGACAAGAGCAAAGAGGAAAAATCAAGGCTCGAGGCTCCATACCTTGTAACTGTAGTATCCAGCTGCATATCCACCTACAAGGCACCCATAATAGAATTAAACACAAAAAAAAAACACAAAAAATTTTGGATTAGAAAAAAAAAAAAAAAAAAGAAACAGTAAAAAAATTAATGAAGAAAATAGTAAGGAAAACCTCCAAATATATGGCTGAAACTGCAAAGAAATCTGTCCTCTAACAAGGGAGGAATAACTTGTGTTTTACTCCCTACTCTTTGATCAACATCAAATATTGATTCAGGCCCGCCAGGAATATATTTTGTATGCAGTTCCAAATCTATACTAGCAAATCGTATCTGCCGAATGTGAAAAGTTGAGCAAAATAAAATAGAATACATCAGACGAATAAAAAAATTCCAATAAGAGGCCCAAGTAACCGCACACACAAAAGTCTAGTTAAGTAAGAAAAAAAAATTTGATAAACTTGCATGAAAAACTCAAGCAAATAAAGGTAGAAAACATTTGTCTCAAGATTGAACCATCATAGAATCTATACTAATAGGGCAGGGGCATAGAAAATGGCTCATATAGCGAATTAAACTAAGCATGAAGAGGACAAAAGATTTCCTTAGAACAGGACAGAAAAACTTATTTGCATCAAAATTCCCAGAAGCAAACAACATTATGATAAAAATGAAGATTGATTTCATTCTTCGCCTTAAAAAAGCAGTAAATTTTATGGTCAAATACAGGAGCAGCACTGACGAGATATATCGTTAAAAGCTAATAGCATATCCAACTGTTTTCAAAGTTCACTACATAAACTTCTTGACAAGGAATAGCATTGGCAATAAATTTTTTTGGAACAGTTCTCAGTGATCAATAGATCGAAAGCAGATGGGCAACCCTTGCTTAAATGTCATGATCTTATGTAGAGATCATTTTCCTCATCTTTTCCAGGATTCTTTTTCAATTTAATTATTATTGGTTTTTATTCTTGATATGTTCTAAAAAAATTATCTTAATCATGCAGGAAGACTAGATGCACATTGAGACAGAGAACTCTAAAAAATTTAATTACCTATACTCCAATTGAAATGAAGTGTCTTAATAGACGAGTCGGTTGATATCAAGCATAGCTCGATCTGGGTCCAAGTGAGCTCAGATCATGCACTTGAACTATAGTAAGAATATTTGAGACATATTTTAGGGGATAAAATGTTCTCAAAATCTGACAAATTTATAGCCAGATCGAGCGTCTTGATGAGGCGAATCCAACAAGCCTAAGATCGCTTAATTCTGATTACTAAATAACTCATATGCCCCTAAAATATCATTCGATCAAACATTTTATGTCGTCCGATAGAGTGATCTAGAGTCTAACAATATTTATGGATGACACTCTCAAAATCTATAAATAGAGTCTCACTCCCTTTATGGAGGGGGAGGAAAAAATTGAAGGCGCTCCAAAATTTCTAAGGTTCCAGAGCTCCACCACAGTCAGACCACTGTCGTAGGGTCGTCACCATCATCACCATTGCTCAACCACCACTAACATCATTTTTTGACCACCGCAGTTGCGTCGCCTCCACCGTCAAACCACCTCTACCCAACCACTACCATTATCATCGACAGACCATTGTCGTGGACCACTGCTGTCAGACCACCACTATCATCGAAGAATCATTGCTTGACCACCATTGTAGTCGCTGCTAGACCATCGTCGTTAGGCTGCCACCATCGACGAAACAACAACGTCCGATCACCATCATTGCCACCGCTAGATCACCGTTGTTCGACCACCTCCGTTGCCACTACTGTCAAGTAGCCCCCATCGCCAAACTACTGCTACCCGACCATTGTTGTCAAACTACTGTGTACGGGCTGTCACAATCTGTCACATGACCTCTATCGTCGATCTTCCATCACAACAACCGAGTTGTCGCCACTTCCCCAACGAATTTTGTCACATGACCTCTAGAAGCTATGGAGTTTGATCAGCAAAAGCGCCACTAAATCCAGAAAAATTAGCAGACTTCAAATTAACAATTGGCCTTTTTTTCAATATTTGGGAAAATCCTCTTATAGCATTTATTTCTCTCAATTGATATCTCCATATCCTTATGTGTTAGCAACACAATTTGGAGTTTCACTCAACCAATCATGACAATAACATCTAATAAAAAATGCACTTATAAGTGACAAAATTAATAAAAGTTAAGATTAATAAAGAATAGACATCAAATCAAATAATATCTTGGATTGGGAGAGTATGCTAAACAATGAAGAATAGAATTGCTTTTATTATATCGTTCTACTAAAATCTCATATAAAATTTTATAAGAATTAGAGTATTCATTGTCGCCCTTTTCCTCCTTTCGATATATAATATCTTTCATCTTTTCCATCATAGAATCCCACATATTGTAGATAAGGAGACAAAGTTTATCTGTATCAGCCAATCTCAACATGTCATATGCAAATTCTGTAAAATCAATAATATAATTAAGTTTATCTGATCACACATCATCCAAAATTTTTTTCTTCACAAATTTTGCCTTGTTTATATTATCTTCATGGTACAAATTCCACTTGTCACTGATCATCATTAGTTGTAACCCTTGTTTGATTACTTTGACCCACCTAAGCATGATTATGCTTGATGCAAAATGCGTCTCTACAATGGCCAACATTTGCAGCTTCACAAGCTCATTGAACATTGATAATCTCTGATATCGGAGTTAACTCAAATCACAATATAAAACAAAATTGTTATTGATGGCATTCAAAAAGGTATTATGAATAACGACACTCAAAATAAGAACACAATGACACAACACAAAAAATAAATGACAACAAAAACAACACTCTTAGGGAGATGACGGTTCGAGAGTCGGTGGTCGGTTGGAAGGGAGCAAGTTGGAAACAAGAGGGAGTGCTTAGGAACGTTGTAGGGGTGCGAGGGTTGGGGTGCTAGGTGGGCTGGGATGATATCAGGAGAGTTGGGGGTGACAGGCTGGCGGTAGAGAAGCTGGGAGGGAATAAACGGTAGGTTGGAAGGGGGGTTGAGGAGTAACAGTTGCAGCTGGTGTGGGAGGGAAGGAATGCGACGACAACAGGCTTGTGGGGTGACTGCCAATACAACAGGCGGTTTCCTGATTGGGCGGTAGGGAATCCTGTAGATGGTCATTGGAATAAGTAGGGTGCAAGTTGTAGACAACAAGAAGGAAGGTTTGGGAACTGCAGAAGACAACAGAGTTGTTGTCTTTGGCGTGCTGAATCAAGTACAGCGGAGGCAGAAGGGAGGATGCGGAAGAGAGAAACATCAAAGATAGCACCACCTTGGAGCGAGATACAGCCGGAGCATCACTTATCCTCGAATATAGCCTTGGAAGAAGAAAAGAGGATGCTGACGACTATCCTTAACAGAAACCTGAAAACAAACTCTTAGAACATAACTCTAAAACAGTGAAACAACATATAAAAAAAAGATAGATAGGCGGGAAATGAAACCAAAAAGGTGGGAATAATTTCCGCCCAATGAAAATATGAAGAGGGGTCGGCTCAGTTTCCTACTGAACCAAACCCTCTCTTGTCGGACCGGCCCCGCCCCAAAACCCCGCATCAGACTTGCTAAGTTAGGGGAGCTTCAACCTCATTAGTCGAAGCTTTTTGTCTCCTAATAGTTAGGCTGGTCATGTTGTAAGATCTCGGTAAGTCAACCCTATAAGTAGTGTAATTCCAATAAACATCTTGATAGAAAAGGTATCCGTCCTCTTTTGGCACGATCGAAGTCGATGGTACACAACGATGTAGGTTCTCCAGAGCAAAATTTTGAGCAAGTAAATATATAATATGCTTCTTCCACTCCCCGGACTCGGCTGGATGTGTCTGATACACAAAGATGTAAAAGGGTGTCACTCTGGAACGATATCTTTAGCAGGTTGGGCCAACCTGACGTGTAACCACTCATGAGAGGCCTTTTCTTCTAAGAAAAAACCTGGATCCCATGGTAAAATATTCTTCCTCCTAAGGATCCTAAGCTAATTCCCACCATTGAGGTTCATCCATCCCGCTTGATATTCTGTCAGGAGGAACATCGTTGAACCGATTTTGATCCCCATATGACTCACGACTACCTTCTAAAAGTAACTTAAAATATTCCCATCTTTGACAGGTTGGGCCTCCATCCGAAGGGGCAACTCCGGAGGCAAACTATATATCTGAAATGCCAAAAATTCGTTTAACTGAAATTGACTGGTGTCTAGTATCGACCCTTTAAACTCATGGTCCTTTTGGACATCCAAAGTCAATTTTGTTGATGTTCCTCTGAACAGATGCCCAACGGTAGCTCGAGGCACCACAATCTCATAGAGCATGAATGCCCCTTACATCAAAGTCACTACCATCTAGAACAGCTACTGTTACCTCAAATATAATCCCTCTCCTCGTGTCAAATGGAATTGATAGCATCTCTTCCTCGTTGGCTGCAAGTTGGGAATCCTCTCTGAAGTCTTCATCATTTCTCGGATCAATTGTCATTGCCCAAATTTTTCAACAACACTCTGCTCAGTGAAACAAATCACCCCCTAGTTGTGCAGTCAACATGCCAAAATTCGTACACTTGCAACACTTCCTGGTTGTGATAGATTTGGGGATGTGAATTGGTTTTATTTGTTCTCCACTTTGAATCAGTTTTTCCTCTGACAGGGTTGTCTTGGGTCCGCTTGTGGGTGTATTCTGACTGCAAGATCTTGAGGTTGAAATATGCCTGTAAGATGTGGGGGTAGCTCGGTACTGTGGCCTATCCACCTTTGAAGCTAAAGGTCTGTCTGTGGTAAGCTCATAGGAACTGGCGATATCTCCTGCTTCAACATCAAGTTCTCTTGTTACCTCCGTCAACGCTCCCGATTACGGTCTAGGGTAACCTCTTATTGAATTTATCCTCAATGTCCGCAAGCCTCCGCTGAAGTTGGCGGATCTCTCGTTGTATCTCCTCTCGGATAGGCTCGGGCATGTATATCTTCAGTGGCATCGAAATTTTCGGAACCCACAATTATATATAATATAAACCGGTTTGTTCCTTTTCTTGGTTTGCTTGTTTTAGGCTTAAGTGTGAAGAAATAACAAAATATAATTTATTTTATCTTAAATTTAGAGAAAAAAAATTTAAATAGCCCAGTTTAGTCTTGAACCCCTTGCAAATTACATAGAGATCCATAAGGCACTTCAACTTATGTTAAGTTGAGATCCATAAATGTTTGAGTAGGAATACCATTAGCATCTACAAGATCAAATAAAACTGGTTCAAGAATGAGGAATAAGCGTGCCTAGAGGCAATGGAGTATAGATATGAGCCTAGTTAAGTGGTTTGTCCTTATCAAGCTCTTCTGGGAGCATAGCAAAACTAATTAAGCTTATGAGAACTTTGGTGGCTCACTCGTGAATTGCATATTTGAATCAAAATCTATGCTTTTATTTTTTATAGTAGAAAAGATATAAAGATGAAATCAATTCAAAGTCAAATGTCAGATAACTTAAAAACAAACAAGTAGAAGAAAGTAGCCTAATGTAATGAACGTAGACAACAGCCCTTAGAAAAGAAGTAGACAAAAAAAGACTAAAACCCATTCCGATTAAGTCATGCTAAAATTAAAGACATAACAAAGGACAAAATACAGGTCTTGCTGCGCTAATAGGATCATAATAGCACTCCTGCTCGGACTAATTTTGGATGAATTGCAATACCGACCTGTCTAAGACTCAATGAGCCAGCACGAAAAGTTTTTGCAGCAAGAAGCTTTTGATAAACTTCTTCAGGTAGAGATTCCCCAGTTTCATAATGCTTTGCAATGCTCAATAATGTATCCCTACCAAATCAGAAGTAGAAAGAAGTTATTTTGCTTGCACACAGAAATATTTAATATAAAAGGAAACACCTTTTTTTTCCTGAAAAATGCTTAGTAACCCACATTAAAGAACATAACAAAGAATATATTCAATGTCGGTATCACTCCCTTTAAAAAAGGAAGCTTTTTTCCACCATAAAAAGTGTCACGCTCAAAACAAGTTGATTTTATGGAAATTCCATCACCTAAACCTGGGAGGGGGAGAAACAATATAGACCACTTAATCACAAGCCAAAGCGTAATCTTTGACGCAGCTTCTCTGCTTCTGCACTGTGGAAAAACCCTTGGCTATGAATGCTGGATATATTGCATTAGAAGGTTCCTTTAACTAGCAATTAACTTGAGCTCAACAAGAAAGCCCAAGAGGAATTAAGATAGCCCACGGAAGTAAGCCTAACTAAAGTAAAATTTAACAAGATTTCCTGCCTGTCCTGTCTTCTATGGTTAGGTGACAGCTGCCAATTTGAACATCCCCAAAAAATATAGTAAAAGCTAACTAGGGCCAGGTGCTGGGCGTTGCCTTAGGTATCAAAACCAACTCTTCCCAAATTATTTTGAACAATTTCTCCATACTACCTTAGGCCTGCCCCTTTTCCTTCCTAATTATAAAATTAATTTTACCTACAAGTTTAATGTGGGTATTTTCCAATCCCCAACTGAACTAGGATTTTGCTACCTGGACTTCAAATAACAAGTCCAACTAATTCACTCCTTCAAGTAGGTAAAGAAACCTTTGCTTGAAGGGAAAAAGCGCCTGCTTCTTAATTTGGCCTATGCATATATACACAAAGCTTTGGCACACAAAGCTCCACCAAGTACGACTAGTTTTGGCAAACCCCAATTACAACAAAAATTAAAAAAACGAAGGGATTTCCAACAATTTAGAGATGCTTAATGGCCATTACCCTGCAAATACATAAATTAATATATAAAAAACACCAAAGTGAGATGTACAATCTAAAAGAGCTTTACTAAATTCCTAGAGGTTGAAAAAGGAAAAAAATAATGCCAAAATGGAAGCCTTTCAAATATGGATTATAAGTGGATCATCATCATTAGCATCAACTATTTAAGATTGATCTTATGAATCTTTATTTTCCATTCATTCATGTTAAGTGCTTCCTAAGGTTTCAACCTAAACTTTGTTCATGGAAGCCTTTGGATGACCATATTAATTTATGCTTACATTTAGGGTGGATCTCTCTTCCATTCAAGCCTCTTCTACCTTCATTTTTTATCCAAGCACTGATTCATTGACTGCTTCTATAGTTCACCCATGCAATAATTCACCCATTCAATAATTTCATTAATATCAAGCCAAATAATATTATTCATATCACTTAATTGGCAGGCATCTTAAGTTATAAAACATGCATTTTATAAGTTCAATAGAATTTTCTGACACTAAAATCCAACCATCTAATTCAATAGCAAAGCTAGATGTAATATGTAAAGCGTTTGTTATTTGTTAGTTGACTATAATGTGAAATAGATAAATATACACATGACCAGCTAATATCTCAATCTATCCAGTACCTCTGGTAACACCAGTTTTCCATGAACTGAGAGGGAAGTTCTACAGCATCCCATTCTATTCCCCTAATTCCAGCAACCAACCCTTCATCTTGTTTGGTTAGCATATGTTGTAGTGCATGACCAAATTCATGAAAGACGGTCTCGACCTACATATAATTGAAAAAATAGTGAGGAACCTATGGAAATATTATAAGATAGGTAACATATGTCAAAAGCACATATATCCCATCATTATATATGCTAAAATAAGGCACATTGAACTAAGGAACACTTCGTGAATTATATGGTTGCTACATGACATGATTGTTTTAAATTAGAATTAAAAACCAATTTAAAAGCTAATTATCACATCATGCATGTCACACTTTTCGAATTTTAATTGAAAGTTTTAACTATATCATGTCTATTTAATCATGTACATCAACTACGTTAATTAACAGCACAATATAGCAAAAGTAAGCAAGATGATGCACATGCAAATTATGAGCCACAAAATTATTCTTTTTGCGGACTATCATCATCCATAAACTAGCCAATATTGTTGTCCTGTATGGGCTGATAAAAACAGGTAAAATTAAATTAAATTATTAGCTGTACTGTAAAACCAGGTTGATTAAAAGTTGAATAAGTTAAAATATGACCATGTGAATAAAAACTAAATTAAATTATTTGCATGCTCAAAAACCACGTGTCATCCACATTAGAATCATAACATGTAGCAGATATTAGAAAGAATATTAACAGAATAAAAATATAACTAACAGTCATAAAAGGCTACCTCTCGGAAAGTCATAAGGCTAGGTTTTCCTCCTACTGGCGGTATTTGATTGCAAACCATGTGGGCAACAGGCAACCGAACTTTGCTGCCGTCTCGTGCAAGCACCGTACTACGAGAAAACACTTCATCCATCCATGCTCCTCCTCTTTTTTCAGAAGGCCGTGAATATGGATCAAAATAGAAGTATGCAATAGGATTAGCTGAAGCATCTTTAACACAATAGAATCTCACATCAGGCTGCCAAACCTGAAAAGAAAGAAAACTGATTTGTTGAGACAGTGCAGTGCATTTTTTGTTGCAGAAAGCATCAATAACCATGCCAAGATGATACTAAACGGGGAACAAAAAAAATTGACTCACCGGAGCAAAGCCATCAGCAGGCTCAATCTTGATTTCAAAAAGTTTATTTGCAAGATTGAAAAGACCATCCATGACCTTAGGTAGTGAAAAATATGGACGCAACTCCTCCTGTAAATGGATGTCCGGAAAAACAAAAAAGGCACTTGCATAAGGAGCCAAGGCACTGAAACCTAAACTTCAATTTCCAAAAAAAGAAACAATTAAAGCAAGATTCAGCACAGATGCGATGTTACACCAACAAGATTTTTTTTTTTTTTTGAAAAATTAGATGCATACCACTTAATTCTTAAGTATTTACATATCTAACACCTAAACTTTAATTTTTAGATATGTCATTACCACCATAACTATGCATGAAAAGGTTTATTTTGTCTTCTTAATGGTTAAAATAGTGGTTTTTTTATGTAATATGAAAGACGAGGCAATATAAATTTAATAATCAAAGTTTAGGTGTTAGATATGAATGTACAATATACATAAGAATTAGGTGGTATGTATATAAATGCCCCATTTTCTGGCTATAAGCTAAACCACCAAACCAGTAGTAGACAATCTTTAGGAACAAGAAGAAATGCAGACAAACAACAATTAAACAATAGAATTGCTAGTGATCTAACAAAAGCAAACGTAGCATAAGCCAGAATTTCAATATTTACAAAGCTAACTCATAATGATACAAAATTTTAAAGAAACTTCAGCTAAGAAAGATCAAATTACCTCATTCATAAATAAATAAATAAATAAAAATAAAAATAATTGAAAAAAAGACTAAACTACCTCATTTATGTCAAATTTTGATTCACGAAGCCTTTCACTCCAGAAGCTAACATCCCAGTGACTTAAATCATTAGCTTCTGCAGCACCTTTCTCTGCAGCAAATTTTTTAACGTCTTCCATGTCTGCAAATAATCAAAAATGACAATTACTATCGTAATTAATTCAAACAATTAGAATAGATTTTAGAAAGAAAAGGTGAAAATAAGAACCCTTTAATATGTTGGACTCCTGACGTGGATCTAATCATGATGATATGTTCTGTTCATATATTATCAACAGTGTCCCAACTATTTCGGGTGGGCCATATAAGTAACCATATTCCAATATTTTTTGTTCAGTATGCTTTGAGGTGATAAATATATTAGTCATAAATTATTTTTAAGAACTTCCATACATATTTCTTAGGTTTATCAATTTTACTTCATAATCTTTTGACACCATTATTTTTATTTACCCATCTAATAGCATACATTTTAGCCTTCACTATACAAGCAAAACCAATTATGTTATCAACTACTTCTAATAGAAGCTACTCAAACCATATTACTTAGTTTCTTATTTTTCCTTCCTGACTTTGTCTTTCATGCATCTTAAAATTCTCATTTCCAGCTCTCAATTTAGCTAAATCTCCCAATATTGGATAAAACTCAAAACCCCAACTTTAAAAAACATTAAATAAATTGGGTTCTCATCAACCTGTATAAGAATAGGTTTGAGTCCAACTTAAGTGACATAAGAAATGGATTAGGTTAAGGTTAGGTTGATGAAAATTATTTGACTCTTTTTCATACAAACTAATTAAGATTTTATTTTATTTTTGCTTTTTTTAGTTTTTTTGTCCATATTGAATTAACCATGTCCATTTTAGATCATCCTGACATTAATCTGTCAAGACCTGGTGTTTTCAGGTTGGTTTAGATTTTGGTCGAGTAGGGTTTGGATTGGTATTTTTAAATTATTTAACGAACCAGACCCAAAAACCAAAAATTTTCACCCCTTAATTTACCTATGAACAATTTTTTTTTTGTTGCAGTAAGGATCAATAAAATATAGCTAGCCTAATCTAATTCATAAAATGAATCATTCAATAAATAAAAACCAAAATTAACAAAAGAAAGTCAACAAGCATGAATACCTAAAATAAAATTACAACTTTTTTCCATTTTATTGAACCAAGTTGACGGAGAAAAAGATTGAATGTGATGCCAATTACATAATAGGACGTTGATAATGAATTTCATCTATTTTTCCCTCATATTAAATCAAATTTATTTTGCTAAAGATATAAGGAAACAGAACCAAAAACTGATGTTGACAAAAAAAAATCAGAATTAGGGCTCGATAACTATAGCCCAAGTTTTGTGGTGAGGGTACTATAGCCAGTGTGCTTTGCAAATTTGGGAGAGAAATCGTCTGAAAAGTTCATATCAAGAGAGAAAAATACAAGCATTCAAGTGAGAGGAAAAACGAGATAGAATAGTGGAAAAGGAAACTTCCACAATTCATAATAAAATAATCTACAATTACAAGCCATAAAAACCTTACATATAGAAATAAGGTTATAAGATAAGACCAAAGTTATGAAATTATATTGAATTAAAAATTAATCTAACAACAAATAAAGAGAGATAATTTTATAATTAAAAAAATTAAAATTGAATAATGCCTCAAATAATACAAAAAGTTAAATATTCTAAAAAATTTCTAACAGTGTTGCATTAAGTCTCTTGGACAAAAGAAATTCCTCTGAGTTATACAGAGGGCCTTTCTTGGAAGCATAATTTCCTTTTAGTAAACGCAAAAAAATCCCTTAATCTTTAATGAGTTGTTTGAATATAAATACAACCTTGAGATCTTGATTTCAAACAACCCTTGGTCATATGGATAAGAAGCAATAGTAACACGAAGTAAATCTATAATTCTTCTTAGGAACTACACAATATTTTTTGAACATGTGGATCAACCTGAATATTTGGAAAAGAATATTGCAAGAGTATTAAAACCTATGAGTCAACCTGTTTCTTAATCTTAATAAAAATAAAGACAAAAGATACAAGTACATATGGTAAAAACAATCTCTGATTCATGAGTAATCTCAATCAAGATTTTAAAAGCCTGGCCGAACATCAAACTAAAATGAGAAGTTCAAGTTCAACAATTCATTAAGGGTTAAATTGAGGGTTGAATCAAATGGCCTAATAATATTAAAATTATTTTCATACAATTAACAATGATGTAATAATAATGCAATAATAAGATAATTCAATATGAAGTATACTTATTCAATATATTCACACTTGAATATTTTGAAAATAATTCAAAATTAAAATTTTGGGATATAAAATTTTAATAACTTTCTCAATTTTTAATATAAATATTTTATTTCTAAAATTCAATCAAAATTGATGAATAACCGAGTTGGTTAGTTCTTTAACAATCAAAATAGTTCACCTATTCCAGAAATTCTTTTGCAAAAAATGATTTTAAACTTGGACCAAACCGACCAAAAGATTGGACCAGTTAGTCCAATCCTATTTTTAAAATCATAGTTTACCGTACAAACTCAATGATCTATTCAATGAGAGACTTGGTAACCAATGACTAGTTAAAATCATCAAGTTCATCAACAAAATTTAGATCATAGTCGAGTTAAAGAGGTGAGGCGAAAATGTGGTGAGGTTTTCTAACACTTGAAAAATTCTCTCCTAAATTGGTTTTGTAAAAATGTAAGTTTGACCATATGATTCAAATTATGAGTGACAATCATCATCAATCTTCCTTATTCCCTCCCAGACGTTTAAAAAGATTTGGTAATCATATAGGTTTAGTTCCCCAAATAAATTGATTAACCCAAGTTCCCTTATTACCCTTCAAGATTGTACTAACCTAGAAACAACATTCTATTCTCCCAAATTGGTGTGAATTAAATTACTTATTCCACTAGTTTGCTCCCACACAACTAGATCACAGCACATTTGAACTATATAATTGGCCAAATTGCAACTCAATGAAGAAAAGAAGGTCAATTCATCGCCACTTTAAAATTATGACTTAATCACAACAGAAAAATTAAAATCATAATTCCTAAATTATCAGTTCAAGGAAGAAAAGAGAAACTACTCGATAATCATGATTGGAGACAACACAATAAACAATTCATTCATTAGAAAGTTTAAAAATAAGATTTGGAAATGGAAAATCAAGTGGAAATCGTTTGAAATATGTTACACTTGTCTTTCTTTCTACTACAAATGACATTGAAAATATACAAGCAATAACAAACTCAAATCCTCACACACTCACACAAGTGCTTGCAGACATTGGCTGCGCTCTGGAGTGCTTCCCTTCTGTCTGATTCTATCTGACACTCTTCTCAAAGGTCTCGGCAAGTGATTTTATATTATCCTTCACAAATCAACACGTTTGAACCATCAAAACAAACAAAACCTGCGAGCTAGTTCCTAGGCACTGATCTCCTTCTCGAATGACTCGGAAACATTCAAACAAGCAATCGGAAACATTCAAACAAGCAATCTTTAAAATCCATCCAACAAAAAATAGGTTATCTCACTTCTCTCCACTGAAACTATGATAAGACTTTCTCCTCCAATCATAACCCTGTTGTCGTGAGCTTCTTCTCCTCATCGAGCTCATTCACCGCGAAGTATCACTCCACACGATAAACCCACCCATGAGTGTCTTCCACCGTGAAGATCAACATCTTCAACTTTCTAACCCTAGCATCACCACCTCAACTTCCTCTCTCTCTCGTGTTTCCCCCCATGTATCTAGGGTGGAACTCTCTCATTCCATCATAGTCACACCCCATTTAGGTTCCTCTCATTTCTTATTTGTGCTCCTCCGAGCCCTTTGCATAGCCCCTCCCCC